TCTTGGTTAGCAAAAGGGAATGTTTTTCTTATGGACCCCAAACATTTGAAAGGTATTTCACACAAATCCTTCCATAGATACCCATTCCATATGTTCAGCGAGTTGTGTAGAAACACCCAGAAGTTTGTCTGACAACTTAATTGTTTCCATATCTAAATCATATTTGTCCAATATAATAGTGTTTGGGATGCAAAGGGTATGACACCTTTACCTTAACAAACACAAGCAAAAGCTTTGAGATTTTGGCCTCACTAAATGTCCGTTCTTCAGTGCACTTTGACCCCTCTCTGTGACCTTCAAACAGCCTTTGAGTTTGTGTTGTGCAAGACAGAGCAATATAGTTTTGCAGAGTCTGTGCTGTACTTTGAGTATTACACTTTGGTCAGGCTAGTTTCAGCTGCAAATGAATGGCATGATTTAGCAGAATTTTGATCTATTCAGTTATTGGACGGTTGACCAATCATATGTCCATTAACTATTTCAACACATTTTAGGTAAAAAATTATAAAGGAAATTATATTTCAGTTTCTGTAACTGCTCCCTGCTTTAAATCACCATTTTTGCAGTTCACTTAAATGGTCCTGCAGTATGTACAAACACTCCTCTATGTGTGAGGGCACAAAAACAGCATGGATGATAATAATTATACAAGAATTATAAAGCATGTCACACTGCCGGACACTGCTGGAAATTTCACATGGGCTAACCTATTATTTATAGTATTAGTATTAGTAAACACCCTACCCATATACACCGCTGGGTTTAAAATGGAAATGTGGTGTTGGTCAGGGAGATTCTATTTTGTTGTGTAATATCACAAAATGCTCTTCTGCTAATCTAACAGCACATGCAGAACTGAGAGAAAATTGCGCTGTCAAAAGAATCAAACAGGAACACAGCAGTTTACATGCATGGGAGAATGACATAGCAATAATTAATGCAGAGTCATGGATTCAGTCATGCATGCAAAACATATATATATATATATATATATATATATATAGTTCTTTGAAATAGAAATGTAATAGTTGTCTGAAATTTACTAGCAATTGCTGATTGAAAATTGTCAGTTAATGTGTTTTGAACTTTATATTGCTCATTGTGTTTATGTATTTCTTCAGGAGTTTTGGCACTATGGGCTCTGGTCACACACATAATGTACCTTCAGGACTACTGGAGAACATGGTTAAAGGGACTGAAGATTTTCCTTGTTATGGGTCTAATTTTCTCTGTGTTGTCCATCGTGGCGTTCATCTCTTTCATCTGTGTCGCCGTCTCCCGCAAAGAATGTGAGTAGAGATCCGTTCTGAAGCTCATGAAACTCATGAATGCTTGAAATTAAATTTTATTTATAACATTTAAGTCATTAAACTCAGCTGTTTGAACTTCAAAAACTGTTTTGCTTTCTCCTCGTGTGTGTGTGTGTGTCTCTACAGCCCTCACAGATCCCACCAGTCTGTACCTGTCGTGTGTGTGGAGCTTCATGAGTTTAAAGTGGGCGTTCCTGCTTTCCCTCTATTCTCATCGATATCGCAAAGAATTTGCCCACATCTCCATCCTCAGTGACTTTTAAATTTACACACAATAACACACTCGTGCCCAGACAAACAAGCAGCTGTTACCATTTGAAATGGACCAGGAACACTCAATGAGGAGAGCCAGAAAGCTTTAGTCTTTTCAGTATATCAGTAGGACACGTGAAGTGCACCACTTCTCTCTCCTTTCTACTACTTGTCTGTCCAGGCAGTCAATTGTGGATCATGTTAGATTGAAGAGTTTGTTGAAGGATGTCGTCAGTGATTTTAAATTTTGGACTTTTTAATATCTATGATCAAAATCAACATTTCTGAGCCTTTTCACTTTTCAGTATGTATGGTTTATACTGTGCATTTCTGAATGAGGTATTAAGAGGAGTCTTTTGTGTTTCTCCTTACTGCTGTTCTCGTGAATGTTTTTCTGCAGTCTCGCAATGATATATGGACAAGTGACAGGTTTTTGTTAAGCTGGTGTATGTAACTAAAAGACCGTTTTTTCCTGCTATTGCATAGCATTTAGGTAACTATCTATTGATTTTTAAATAAAATATAAAATGTGGTGTAACCAATCACAAACCCTGTTCCTGTGGGAATCTTGAGGCTTTACTGGCGAGGGATATGTTATGTGGAAATTCTCTTTTTGTTTATACTTCCATGACCCCAAAGCATTAGAAAACAACATCCAGCACACATTTGAAGATTTAAATTATTTTTGTAGCAGACTTGTTTGCATTATTTATGCATAATTTTATTTATTTGTAAGACTTTTTTATGACTAAATTTGGTAATGGGAGAGTAAAAATATTTTTAAAATGTACACCGTTCAAACTAGGCTGCTTATGTTGAAGTGTTTGGGATGTGGCTTTTAATGATGAGACCTTTTTTGTAATCAGGCTCTCAAAAAGTATATAACAATTTGGATATAGATTTATCGGCCAACATATCGGTTATCGGCTTTCAAAAATAAAGAATAATCGGTTATCGGTATCGGCCAAAATTTTCATATCGGTGCATCCCTAATTTTTTCCCCCACAAGACAAACATGGTAAGAGATTTTAAGTTTTACCATCAAATCTTGTCATCACATATTTGTAAGTTAGTTGTAAAATAACCTGACACGAAACATGCTTCTTGATTTCAAAACTATTAAAAAGTAAAAATACAGGTTTATTTAATTTTGAGAACAGCAAAACATTTTGAAGAAAATTAAATGAAATGAAAAGCCTATAAAAAAAACAATGTAAAAAGTGGAATATATGCAAATGCTGATATGGTATTTCACAAAATAACTTTAAATGTTTTTATAGACCAACTTGGTAATAAAAAGAAAAGAAAATATTCTCGACCTACTTGTACCCTTTTCTTTATGCTTGCTATATAAATAATTGACATACAAGGACAGCTGCCTTACATATTAATTGCAGGAAATCTATCAATATTAACAATGACAAAAACGTAGCTTGAACAATGCAAAATGTCTCAGGATTTTTTCTTTTTAAATTTGTAATGATTGATGAATATAAAGTGCAATTAAAGGGGTCATACGACGTTGCTAAAAAGAACATTATTTTGTGTATTTGGTGAAATGCAATGTTTATGCGGTTAGACCCCAGATAGTCGTTCAGTGTGAAACCAACAGTGATGCAACGTTTTTGAAAGTCGTGCAGTGTGAACTCGGCATTACCATACTGTGATGCTGTGTCCCAGTGCGACGAGACAAAACCAATAAAACCCATTATAAACGAGGCATTTGTTGCATCCAGTGGGGACACAATTACTGATTATAATGATATATAGGCCCAATCCCAATTCTACCCCTTAGCCCTTCCCCTACCCCTCCGTTTCGTGCGTTCACGTAAAGGGGTAGGGGTTTCTCAATTCTCTTTTGGTTGGAGGGGTAGGGCTAAGGGGAAGGGCCAGACAGCCCTTCAAACGAAGATTTTTCGGGACCAAACTTCAAATGAAGGGGTATGAATTATCTCAGCGTAAACCGGCTTCAGGGGCAACATGGCTGCCCGAGCGAACAAAAAGACACATAAATGTAAGCATTTTTGGCATTAATAAAGATTTTAACAAAAAGTAATCATTTGTTTTATGTCACATTCAATTGTGAGTTCATATTTACGGTCATGTTACTCAAAGAAATGTTTGAAAAATTGCTAATATTTGCCAACTAACGTCATATCATTATAGACAACATATTTTCATGTCTGATCAGGGCGATAACCACCATAGACACTGAGGGGGCTAGTCCCCTCAATAATTATAAATCGCTAAACCCTTTTCTCAAATACTGCCAATTCGAGAAAGAGAGACAGAGAGAGAGAGATGAAAGTTAATTGCGTGTATGCGCGTGTGCGTTTCTCTTTTTAGAGTGAGTTTACTTAAAAAACAGCGATGTTATCCTCTTGCTGCTGGAAAATATAATGCAGTTTAAACTGTTATTAATAAAAGTCGTGGGGCAGCGTTGACAAGTTTCTTTTCTCCTGGATGTGTGAGCTGCGCGATCTCCGATATATATATGTGTGTGTGTGTGTGTGTCAGTAAGCAGCGCATTAATATAAAACGATAATTAAAGGCTCTAATGCACAACGGTGTGTGTATTGTAGGAGCTAGACGACGTATGATGACGTGTAACGGCATAGTAGTGGTGTCCCAATTCTTAGGGGAATATTTTTACCCCTACCTCTTGACACACTGTTTCAAGGGACAAAGGGAAGGGGAAGGGGAAGGGGAATAAAATAGAATTGGGATTGGGCCATACTGTCTTTTTACGTGTTGCGTTGAATATCGCGCCCCGTAAACATAAAACCATGTCTGTATTTGTGATCGGAGAAACGACAAACAACTAGCGCTACACTACACTGCTCAAAACTCACGTTTGAATTGTCAGTGGCAAATTATTTAAATATGAAAACTTAGGCTACTTACAGGCTGTGAGTCAGAAGCGCCAGACTGTCCTTGCCAATTTGGAACTGCCCCACTTTATAGAAACAGACACCATAGGCTACTCTCCCAGGAAACAATCCTCGTCCTCCATAAAATGTGCTGCACACATTTGAATATTTGGGTTGAACTGTTCTGGAACTGTGTTGTAAATACAACTTAACCACTGATTTCTAGTTGTGTCCTCTTTTGGAAGGCCAAACAAAGTAGTTTCGTTTACACCCCGAAACACACAGCGTCTCCACGACATGGCGGCAGCGGTAACAATACTACAGCGAGAATCAAAGTTACGTCTTCTTTCTTTGCGTGAACATTTGGGCGGCATTATGCAAATCTTCCCACATTGTGACGTAGATATGTGGGGGCGTGTTAGAACGAGCCATTTTAGGTAGGCGTGGTAGATTCTTAACTTTTATAAAGAATATCTCTTTGGATTTGAGACTTTAGTCTTTGCAAATTTACAGATCTTCTTTATGCACCAAGAGCTTGTAATACTCAATTTATTCCTGTGATGGCGAAGCTGAATTTTCAGCAGTCATTATAATATATGGAGATTTGGTGTTCAAGAAACATGTCAATCACTGAAAACAGTTCTTACATTCTTTGATGAATAGAAAGTTCGAAAGCAATGCATCCTTGCTGAATGTTAAAAAAATTACTCTTAATTAATTAAATTCATTACATGTTCACTTCTTGTCTGTATGGTATCCTTATTTGACATTGCCCAGAGGCTTCATGAGCAAGCTATAATTGCAAAATCTTGTCATCAAACAACTGATTAAGCATTTCAATAAATCACATGAGATTGACAGTGACAGTGAAGTTATCTTGTTCAGCCTAGTTCCTGAGGATTGTCTCCTGTCTCACACAAGAGTGCAGCCACCATAGTAATGTCATAGCAGCTTCAGTCTGTTACAGCACTGGATGTCCGACTTCTGCTTGGAGAGTAATAAAGTCTTTCAGAAAAACACAGACTGGCTTCTACATCGATTCAGCTTCATCCTGCTCCATTGGCTCATTTAGGCAACTATAGAGCAGAGAACATCAACAGATTCAATAGTCATGTCAGTCCATGTCTAGCCATGTTAGTCCATCAATAAGCTAATACTGAAAGCTATTAGCATATTGATGCAACAGTGCCAGCGCACATTTCTGCAATGTTGGATCCGGAAGATTTTTTTTTTTCATTCATTTTTCCCATTGGGATTAAAAGAAAGTCCTTCTTAAAACATTGTAAGCAACGAAAAAAAAACAGCTATGAAGTGAATTAGAACAGTACAAACTTTGAAATGAAGCTATAAAGATATACTTCATATACAATTGAAAGCATAATATATAAGAAAGCATATACCATTGATTAACAACCTCATAGCTCACAGAAAGTCTTTCTTTTGTCACTAAAAATCAGTTCCCCTATGAAGAAATAAATTGATTTTTTTACTAATGGAATTTTTAACTCTATACTGTCATCTTACCAGCTTTTTTTTGGAACAGTCATATGGAGGCCATCCAGGACTAAAGCAGCTTCACTTCCTGCTGAGTATCTCCTCTCCGCATTCACGTAGGACAGAGACACAGTGTCGACCATAGACCTCACTGAATGCCAGTACCTGCCTGAGAGAAAGAGAGACAGAGAGATTTATGAAAAGATCAAAAAGACCACAGAAAATAGACATGAACAATGCTAACAGAACGATTCTCACTCTGAACATGTAGAACTGTCTTTAGAGACTCGACTGCGTTGACACAGGGCTTCCTCACTAATTCTTCCTCATTTAAAGGCTCAGGCTGTAAAAACACACTAACATTCACACAATACTCAAGGTGCTGAAGTGTGCATGTAGGCATCTGTAAACACACACACCTCATTTCCCACGAGCGCGCTGACACATGCTTGCAACGCGTCACAGAGGGTTATGGGGTTAGAACCTCCCTCTAACACCAACATAACTCGACCTTCAGCCAACTCCATTAAATTCCGGGTCAAGAATCCGAAACCTGAGACATATCACATAAAATAAAAACCTTCAAATGATTATTTGCATATTTGGTCAGTGACACACGTCATACTGACACAAATGGCATTCAATCACAGAAATATCCTGGAGGCATTATAGTAACTCTTGATTTAACAGTTCATAATAGCTGGCTAAATCATGACTATAATATGGCCATGACTTTTGAATCCCATCAAAATTGCCAAGTCATTATAAGCTCTTCTGCTTTCCATCTGAAGTATTTTAAGGACTTTTCTAAGAGGAAACCCTACAAAGCAAGAAACATGCAGAAACAACAGAAACACCCTCAAGCTCAGATAATATAATTAAATGCTCGTGCAAAACCTAGTGAGTTAATGAGCCAAGAGAAATTAATAAAATAATATTTTATTCAATACTGAAAATTATTAACAAAAAAATACATTTTTAAAGTAATTTAAAATGCATTTTTACCCAGTATTTATGTGTATGTGCTATCTATCTTCATGCTTACTGAATATGAATAATATTTTTTAAATATTGTAGACAACTTGAAAATTGTAGACACTCTGTGGTCACAGTTTGTATTTCTAATACATACATCCTGCTGAGACTCTGTATCCACCCAGAGCCTCTGGGTGGCCCTCTGCAGCATCAAAACCAGCTGAAACCAGGACCACATCTGGGGAAAACTCATGAGCAATTGGCATAACAACTGTTCTATAAAGAGAGACAGAATATTTAGCTATTTAGTTCATGCAGAGTTAACAGTGGCACCAGACAGAATTGCAAGCAGGTTCCCAGAAGGAAAAAAGTCACAGGTTTGTAATGGCATGAGGGTGTGTAAATGATAAATGGATTTTTATTTTGTGCGAATGATAGTGGTGGAAAGAGTACTAAGAAATTGTACTTAAGTAAAAGTATTGCTACTTAAGGAATAATTTACTTGAGTACAAGTAAAAAGTACTTGTTAGAAAACACTCTCTGTCTTGTTAAGAGAATGTTCCAGATGTCTCACCCCTCCTTTTTTTTCTCTCTAACTCTTCTATATACAACGCATTCTTTCTGAATCCCCCCTTCTGTATCCATCTCTCTCTCTTGATATTATGTTTTAAATATGTCTTACTTATATGCGAAGTATGCATGCTTAAATGTATACATTAGCTTCTCTTGGTTCAAATGTCCCAAATAAGGACATGAATGTTAGGACTACAAGGGTAAAGGAGTTTGTGATGAAACCATGAAGACAGTTCAGCATTCTTCGCAAAAGTCTATTCCTAATATGTCCATGTTTTTCTGTACATGTGGACATTTTATATAAACACATGTTCTTGGCCAAAGATCCTACGTGTATGTTATTCATATCCTCATTGGTTAAGAGGGTGAAACTCCCCTCGACATATGCCTATATAATATCTGTATTTCTATGAATAAATTGAAGTATTGAGGATACATTTGACTGTGTGTTTTCTTACTTCCCGACCGTATTTACACTTTAAGGAGACTGAGAAAAGTTCACGGTGGCAAAGAGAATTTACTGAGGGACCAAATTGTTATTCTTTATTAAAAAATGGGGGCTCGTCCTTCTGGGAATTTCTAAAAAAGACAGGTAAGAAACTTTTATTTTTCATCCTGTCTGTAAGAGAAATTGAATGTATTCTCGTTTGCAATTTGATTGTGTCATTTTTGGCATCAATCTGTTTTCCTCACATTTTAT